CTCGTGCTGCACTTGCTGCTGCGGGCTCCGGCCTTTCCAGGCTTGTTTGTGAGCTGTGGGGACAACGCTGAGCAGCCCTGTCCCCTGCAGCCGCCCCCCGGTGCAGCCCACCCAGCCCTGGGTGCCGGCAGAGATGCGCTCCCTGCAAAGCGGCTTTTGGGGTCCGGCTCCATTCAAAAGTCTTCCATGACCTCTAGTGGCCACCAAAGCCAAAGAAAGTCCCCAAAACCCATCATTCCCGGGTAAAACAACGAGGTACGGCTGTACCAAAGCCTCCCGCTCTTGAAAATATCCCCGAAAAGCAGCGAGACCAAGCACAGATTCCTCTCCCGGCCCACCCAGCCGCGGTGTTTGGGGACACGGGGACTCACAGAGCGAGCTGCAGCGACACGGGTCGTGCTTGTCCAGGTAATGCTCCAGCGTGTCCCAGCCGCCCCCGACCCGCACCATGACGTGTTCCCGCAGGATCTGCACGGGAATGTCCGTGCCATGGGACACCGCCAGCCGGGGGGTGACACGCTCGGCCGGGCTGCGAGAGCTGTGCCCTGAGTGCCACCAGGTGTCCCAAAGGACGGCTGAGTCCCTGGCTCAGCTCCTGCTCCCGACGGGTTCATTTCGTCACCACAAGGAGGGTGGGAATCCTTTCGGAAAATCCCTGTTCTCCGACACGTGCGGGGTTCTTTGGCCAGGCTTAGGGATGGATTTAGAACACCCCGGTGCTCCCATTGCTGGGTGAGACCAGGCTTTGGCTCTGTGGGATGTCAGGTTTGGTCCCACACACGCGGATGGTTCAATCCATAGCAACACCTATGGCGGGGCTGAGCTCCCCTGCTGCCCTGCTCTGGGAAACGCGGCCAAAATTCCCACACGGGCCCTTTTGGGGGGATTATGGAAAAGGGGCCACGGCAGCAGAGCAGAACTCCTGATGCTTTTCCCCCGAGGGCACAGGGTGGAGCAGACTCACCCGCACAAAGATGAGGGTGTCAGAGTCCCCCACACGGTATTTCCCTTCCGAGAGCTTGATCATGGGGAACTGGACAGGGCAGGTACAGCGGCTCACCAGGTGCTGGACCTGTGGGCAGCAGGGATGGGTCCTCACCAGGGCTGCTGGGAAAGCTCCCGGGGTGGCCATGCCCATCCCATCCATCTCCATCCCATCCATCTCCATCCCCATCCCACCCATCTCCATGCCCATCCCCAACCATCTCCATCTCCATCCCATCCATCTCCATGCCTATCCCCATCCCATCCATCTCCATGCCCATCCCCAACCATCTCCATGCCCATCCCACCCATCTCCATGCCCATCCCATCCATCTCCATCCCCATCCCATCCATCTCCATGCCCATCCCATCCATCTCCATGCCCATCCCCAACCATCTCCATCCC